TAGCTAGCTAGGTAGCTAGGTAGCTATAAGTATTGTAGTTAGGTAGGCAGGTAGAGCAGGCTTGGGGATCTCAAGTCGGCTACACAGGCGTACGATAACGCGGTATGCAGAAAGGCTTCGACTTCTTCAGTAGCAGAGATCAGAGCGACTTCTTCAGTAGCAGAGATCAGAGCGCGGCGCCCTGCTAGAGGAGTATGTTTCGTAGTGTTCTTGCTCTACTCACCTGCGTTTAATGATGTTGCAATCTGCCTCCTGAACCTTACTCAGCTCGTGACAGCTTGGCCTCTGCATTCGTATTGAAGCATCCCCCAAAGCTGTCATGCCCTGTCATGAATACAGACCCTCTACACTATCAAGCCATAAGCCGGCGGACCCATGGCAGATCAGAATTAGAGGAGACCTACACCTAGCAAGTCTAGGTTGCAAATTGAGGTTTAGGGTTTCGGTTTAGGTCTTAAGTGGGGGTCTACATCGGATGCAGCAAAGTGAGGCTAGTACAAGACCAATTTTACCCACCCTGCGACCAAAAAGCAGGATGACCTGCTCCGGAAGCCTTGGTCGTGCCTTGGACTTCGGCGAAAGATGTGTTTTCACTTATGCTGTGTGCAGCAAGGTTTCGGGATTTTTCTGATTTAGATTGATGTGAGAGCCCAGATTGGAGTGGCTGGGTTCAAGAAAAGTTACAGCTTTGTTGCGAGAACTTCATGTCGTGTGCTATGGTAGTTCAACGCAGGGTGAGTTCCCGACACGAAAGGTAAGCCCCCTGTGCGTGGCATGAACAACACGAGAAGCCTTTCCACCGCCAGCTACCTCAAACGTCAACGCCCCATAGTGACATAGTGTTGCTACGCTGGTTGGAGACCGGGAACCAATAAACACACGGCAGCACATTTAGTCCTCGAGCCATTCCCAAACTGCAGGCAGACCCGTCGGAGCAGATTGGATACGAAGAGTCTTTGGATACTTCCCTAGACCCAAAACCCGAAACCCCCGACACTTGGAGAGTCACAACTAGGCATCTTTTGAGAGCGATGGACGTCGGCGAGCTTGACACTTCCCGATTAGCAGGTTTTACTTATGGGCATAAGTGTTGTGAGCAGGCTTGCGTGATGTACTTGTTTCACTCAGCAGACCCACGATTCGCATGCCTCGCCTGGACTGTCCGAGTGTGAGCACCGAAACCCCCCTATAGCAAATCGGCAGCCAAGCAGGTGGGAAAAACTCGCTAACCCTTATGTCCCTCTGTCCCTAAACCCTAAACCCTACAGCATCTTTCAGCATACCGAACTCCCGACCTCCGGGTCCTTCGCGCCTTCATGGATTTCCGTCGTGTTGAACCCCAGTATAGGGGCATGGCTGCTGTGTGTCAGTGTGTTCTGGTGACAGGTCTGTTGGCATATACAGTCCACCAACTCGCGCAGATTGTGATATTTGCTGCCGACCCGGTGGTCGACGTGAGGATGCAGCGCTGGGGTGGTGCTGGGAAGTGGGCAATTTGTGCTAATTTGGACGCAGAGATAGAAGAGGTCGGTGTCGGAATTTTCAACCGCACAGGGAGTGTGAATTGGGGTTCAGCAGATAATGATGGTCCTCTACTACATGGTTGGGCATTGAATGTGGAACATCTAGACACGCCGGACTTCCCTCGGCAGTGCGCAGTGGTCGACTTGACAAAGTGGGACTGGCCACAACACCGGACGTGGTTTGCCCTGTGCTCTTCAAGTCTTAGTGCATTTTTTGTGTGGTCAAATAATGAGTGGCAATTCGTTTGGCATTCCTTGCCTGGTTGGAAAGGACTTGTCCAGCTTCACAAGCGACGCCATGGCAACAATTCCGGCTACCAGGTTTCGATGACGGATTCGTATTCAGTCTCCTACATTCAGAGCACCGGGATTGGAATTCGGGCGCACTACCTTTGTCCATCTTGGTCAAGTTTCAATTCTACTCCAACACATTCGACCGTTGTTTTGGAAGTGTTCATTGAGGACCCTTTGATTACCTCATCCACAGAACAAGGACATGCGCCACAGATATGGACTTTTATTGGCAGCTTGGGGGGCTACTTTGCCTTGCTCACCGCTCTATTCACCTTCTGCTTCATCAAGAAGAATGCGGACGGCGACATTGCGAAGGAATACGATGAAAGAACATTTATCGGGCAGAGGATAGGGTTGACAATGTATCAAGATGACACGGAGCGCAGGTCACTGCCTAGCGAGTGAGGCGTCCAATGGCAGACAATCTTTTTTGGACATCTGGTTCCGAAGCGAACCGATAAATGCCAAGCGCACGCCTAGCATCCTGAGTTCGAACTCTACAGTCATCCCTGCGGTGCGACTTGTCAGCTGGGCGGGTGGGAAAAAAACCCTTATGTGCCTCTGTCTCTAAAGCTTCTAAGGTCCTCCGAACTTCTTCAGTTCCCGAGGCGGGGCCGGC